GCATCTCCCCGCATCTCCCCGCATCTCCCCGCATCTCCCAGCATCTCCCCGCATCTCCCCGGATCTGTCCGCATCTCGCAGCACCTGCCCGCATCTTCCCGCATCTGCCCGCATCTCCCCGCATCTCCCCGCATCTGCCTGCATCTCCCCGCATCTCCCCGCAGGTTGTGCCCGACGACGCCGACGCGATCTCCGAGGTGCTGGCGCGCTGGGCAGACGGCGGAGTCGCCAACCTCGTCCTCACCACGGGAGGTACCGGCCTCTCTCCGCGCGACGTGACGCCCGAGGCGAGGGTGCCACACAGGACAAGGGGAGGCCCTTCTCACTCCGCGTGAGGCGAGTGCCCTGTGCGGCAGAAGAGCGAGGCAGCGCTGGGGAGGGAGCGGCCCCCCGACCCCCACCCACCCACCACCACCACCACCACCACCACCACCACAACAAGCACAACCACAACAACAACGCTCCACTACCCACCCACCCGGCGGCGCAGGCGACGCTCGCCGTTGTGGAGCGGACGCTGCCCGGCCTCCCCGAGCTGCTGCTCGGCGAGGCGCTGCGGCACGAGCCGCTCGCCGCCCTCTCCCGCGCCGCCGCCGGCGTTCGCGGCAAGTGCCTCATCGTCAACCTGCCCGGCCGGCCGCGCGCGGTGACGCAAAACATGGGCGCACTCATGCCGCTGCTCGCGCACGCGGTGCGCGAGCTCGAGGACTAGCCGGGAGAGGAGTAGCGGGGGCACTTGGGCAACCGCGATTCGCGCGGGCCGGGGGGGCGGGCGGTGAGAGGACGCGCACGGAGATGGGTCCACGCCCCCGCTTGGCGCTTGAGGCGCCGGCCTGCGCCCGAGCCGCATCTCACCTACTGTTGGCGCTGCAGTACGTACACCGGCCCCAGGGCCAGGCGGCCCGCCCAGTTGTAAAGTAGGACTCTCACATAGTAGATTGTTTCTTTTATGAAAACCATCGGGCCCACACACACGGCACCAGTCGCCCGTCTCGGCAGGAACAGGAGAAAACTCCATAGCGAGAACGGCGTGAGCGTGTGGCACTCAAAGACAAAAGCCGAAAGCGCTGCAGAGCGCATCTAGGTCTGCCCCACCCCCCACAGCTCTAGGTGGTTTGCAAGAGGCTGTCCCCGCATGGCGGTGTGCCCCCCGCCGCGGTGAGGATGCCGTGGTCGAGACCGCACCGCCGCAGCTCCTCGTCGGCGGTGTACCGCACGCGGCCGAAGCGGCGGAGCAGCAGCGCCTCCACCTCCCCCCGCGCCGAGCCGCCATGCACCTCCACCACAACCTGCCTGATGCGCCGCCAGTCCTCGTCCGCGACGCCGCGCAGCGCGCCGCCCTCGGACCCCTCAACGTCGAGCTTGAGCAGCTCCACCGGCGCGCCGCCGCCGTGCGCGCGCAACACCTCCGAGAGCGTCTCCACGCGCACATCGTACCGCCGGCTCCGGAACATGGCCCGACGGCGCGCCGGCTGGAAGGCGACGCGCTGCTCCCACTTTGCGCGAGGGTGGAGCGTCGAGTTGCCAGGCATCCGAGGGTAGTAGGCGAGCTTCGCCCGCCCCGCCGCCTCGCCGAGCGCCGATTCCACCACAGCCACGCGCCCCGCCGCGCCCGCGCGCGCAAGGTTGCGCCGCAGCAGCGCCACGTTCGGCGGCGCCGGCTCGATTGACACTAGCCGCAACCCAGGACCGCCTCTCCCGCCGCCGCCGCCGCCTCTCCCGCCGCCGCCGCCGCCTCTCCCGCCGCCTCTCCCGCCGCCGCCGCCGCCGCCGCCGCCGCCTCTCCCGCCGCCGCCGCCGCCGCCGCCGCCGCCGCCGCCGCCCTGGGCCTCCCCAACTTGGCCCGCGGCCGAAAGGAGCCAGATGGCGAAGAGGCCGATGTTGGCTCCGGCGTCGACGACGAGCCCGGAGGCTGGCAGCTCGATGCCCGAGCCGGGAGGGAGGTAGGCGCGCCGCACCCAGAGCTCGCGTCGTATGTGCTCCGCCTGTTCACGCGCAGACGCG